GTTGTAGTGAAATGTTGAGCGAGTGGGAGAAGAATGTGGGCGACCAAGGTTTAGCTGAGCTAGACGTGTGGCCTTACCTTCAACAATTGGCTAGTGATGTGATTTCGCGCACTGCATTTGGAAGTAGCTATGAAGAAGGGAATAAAATATTCGAACTCCAAAGAGAGCAAGTTGGTTATGTATTACAAATTTCGAGTTCAATTTATATTCCAGGATGGAGGTAAAGCAAAACCGGTGGTTTATGTTTATAATAACTTGGATTTATTGAATTAATGAAGAACATATTGATGCATGCAGGTTCTTACCAACTAAGAGGAATAGAAGAATGAAGCAAATTGAGAAGCAAGTTCATGCATCAATTATGGATATAATTGACAAGAGAGTGAAGGCGATGAGAGGAGGAGAAGCTAGTCCAGATGACCTATTGGGCATATTATTGGAATCCAATTTTGAAGAAATTGAACAAAATGGAAACAAGAATTTTGGGATGACCACAAGGGAGGTGATTGAAGAGTGTAAGTTGTTCTATTTAGCTGGGCAAGAGACCACATCTTCGTTGCTTGTGTGGACTATGGTGTTGTTGAGTATGCATCAAGAATGGCAAACAAGAGCTAGAGAAGAGGTTTTTAAGCTATTTGGTAAAGATAGACCTGATTTTGATGGATTAAATCGTTTGAAAATTGTAAGTTTAAATTTTTTTTTTCACTATTATATATAGTCTCTCAACTTTGAATTTCTTATCACTTATTACCTGATTATACTGTTGCATGGTTAAAAACAGGTGACAATGATTTTAAACGAGTCTTTGAGGTTATACCCGCCTGGAACATCACTTAGGCGACTTACTAAAGAACAAACAAAGATAGGAGATATAACATTTCCCCCAGGTGTTTTAATCGCAATACCAGTGATCTTGTATCATTACGACGAGAAGATATGGGGCAACGATGCGAAGGAGTTCAAACCACAGAGATTTAGTGAGGGGGTGTCAAAGGTAACTAAAGGGCAACTAGCATTCTTCCCCTTTAGCAGTGGACCTAGAATATGTATTGGGCAAAACTTCGCCATGCTTGAAGCAAAAATGGCAATGGCCATGATTTTACAGCGGTTTTCCTTTGAGCTCTCACCATCCTATGCACATGCTCCCACCACCGTCATAACGTTGCAACCTCAGTTTGGTGCTCCGCTCCTCTTGCGCAAAACGTAGAGTGCAATGCCACATATAGTATTCATACTTACTTGGATTATATATATGAGACATCATTTGGAATTCGTTTGTCTTAGAGATGGGTAAAATCTTCATATTTTAATAAATAAATAAAAGTTAGTATTACTATTTTCATCTCATATAGAATACCAATTAAGTATGTGCATGTATGTCTCACTCTATTGGATGTAAAACAAAAATTATGTATATGTATTTAGACATATTTATACAATGAAATTTACTTAATTAAATAGATTGACTTCTTAACACTATCTATAATATTAAAATTGTAATTAGTTAGAATAAATTTTCTATAATATTTTATAAAAAAAAATCTATATTATCTATATTTACATTACATTCTATTATATCATTTCTGCAGTTGAGATTGACATTTCAAAACTTTTGCTCATTCAAAAATAAAATGAATTGACTAAATATAATAATCAAATAAATTGTCAATGATTAAATCTTAAAATGACACCAATGCCAACCTATAGTTTCATTTATTTGACTTTTTTTAAGTACTCCATATATTTGATATTTCTTTACTAGCACGTGCAAGTGTGCAACCCCGACCATTTGCCCATATAAACCCGACTTATTCAAATGGAGTAGGAGAAATGGAGTGTGGGTCCAACGCGCCTGCCGAGTTCGTCAAACTCCAACCACCTTATATGAAATGGTCTATGGCGTCGGTCAACTATTTAGTTGATTTCTCAACATTTCCTGTCCCAACTCTCTCGCCAAACCCAACACCCTCCGCTCTTCTCTCTCAACCCAAAACCTTTTCAACAACCTCTACAATGGCGGTCTCCGGCGGGTACGCAGCCTCCCTCACCGTTCCCGGCTCCAAGCCGAAGTTAGGTTCCAGCAGTACCCACACGCCGTCTTCCTCTCTCTCTACGCTGCCGTTTTCGGTTCCTTTTCGCTGCCGGAGACTGAAGCCGTTGGTTTATGGGACTGGATCGCTGAACCCTAGATGCGATGGTGGTTCGAATTCGTTGGTTAGCAGTGAAGCAAAGAGATCGGCTAACCCTTCTAGTCTTTCCGCTTTGGAGCTTCTCAAGACATCCGCCGCCGATCGTAAGCTTCCCTTCCTTTTTCGCTTTTAACTTCCACTCAAGATTTCTCACGTTGGATATGTTTTTTTGTTTTGCATTTATTACTCAAAGATAGTTACTTTAATTGTTTTCGAGCTGACTTAGATTGCAAGAAAGAGTATTTTCAGTCTGTCTTGTCAGCATCAGTATGAAATTTACCATATTTAGTGAGGAGTTTTTCTTTGCTGCTTAAAGGCTTAAATTTGGCATATCTGCATTTGATACAGCTAGACTATGATGAATAATGTCTGAACTTTGTTAGAAAGTTAGAAAGTTTAGAATTTTATTTAGCATAAATCCTTATTTGATCCCTTGATCATAACAAATGGAGTCAGCCAGTGCTACAATGGAAATCACAACATCAGCTAAGGCAGATTGTGGGCAACAAAGTTATAAAACTATAGCTAAATTGCATGTTTTGACCTGTTTTAATTAGATCATCATGGTAGAATTAGTTGATACTCTGTAAAATATTGAATAATCTATCCTCACAATATGTGTGCTGACATTTTCTTTCATGTATATAAATGGTGAAATGTTCTTTCTGAGGTTTATGAAGAAACACTGATTTTGGGTCTCCAAACATTCTTTGTATTTCATCTTCAGGGTATACGAAGCAAAGTAGCAGTATTGTTGTTATCGGGCTTAACATTCATACAGCACCAGTTGAAGTGCGAGAGAAATTTGCTATTGCAGAATCAGACTGGCCCCGTGCAATTAATGAACTGTGTTCCTTGAATCATATAGAAGAAGCTGCTGTTCTTAGCACATGTAACCGGATTGAAATATATGTTTTAGCTCTATCTCAGACTCGTGGGGTGAAAGAAGTGACTGAATGGATGTCTAAGGTGCTAATTATCCTCCATCTTTCGTTGAAATTGTTATCTATCTACCTTTCACCATTCTCAAACCACAAGATAAATATTAAACTTTCTCGGGTTAAAGATAACAGGAATCAGTTTGCTTTTGCATTTCCTATGAATTAGTTGCATCATGTGGTTGTCCTAATCATCATCTGTCTTTTTTTTCTTTTTTTTTTTTAACAGACAAGTGGAGTTCCAATTCCAGAGATCTCTCAACACCGATTTTTGCTGCACGACAAGGATGCAATTCAACATCTGTTTGAAGTTTCTGCTGGACTAGACTCCCTTGTCCTTGGAGAAGGTCAAATTCTTGCACAGGTAAAGCAGGTTGTAAAGACTTCACAAGGAGCCACTGGGTTTGGTAAGAAAATAAGCGGGCTGTTTAAGCATGCAATTACAGTTGGAAAACGGGTTAGATCCGAGACCAGCATTTCCACCGGGTCAGTTTCTGTAAGCTCGGCTGCTGTGGAGCTTGTACAGATGAAGCTTCCAGAGAATTCTTATGCTACTGCCCGAGTATTGGTTGTTGGAGCTGGCAAAATGGGAAAACTCGTAATCAAACACTTGGTCGCTAAAGGGTGTAGACAAATGGTAGTCGTAAACAGGACCGAAGACAAAGTTGCTGCTATATGCGAGGAGCTCAAGGATGTCGAGATAACATACAGACCTCTTTCAGAAATCTTAGCGCGTGCTTCACAAGCCGACGTGGTTTTCACATGTACTGCTTCAAATGCCCCTTTGTTTTCGAAAGATAATGTTCGCGCACTCCCCCCCACGAGCGATCAGCTCGGTGGCCAGAGGCTGTTTGTTGATATATCTGTCCCTCGGAATGTGGAGCCAAGTGTCTCTGATCTTGAAGCTACAAAGGTTTACAATGTTGATGATCTTAAAGAAGTCGTGGCAGCTAACAAGGAAGACCGGTTGAGGAAGAAATTGGAAGCTTTGGCAATCATTAATGATGAAGTTAAGCAATTCGAAGCTTGGAAAAACTCCCTCGAGACAGTTCCAACTATCAAAAAGCTTAGGGCCTATGCTGAAAGAATTAGAGCTTCTGAGGTCAACAAGTGTTTATCAAAGATGGGCGATGACATCCCAAAAGACAAGAAGAAAGCTATCTACGATCTTAGCTTGGGCATAATGAATAAGCTCCTTCATGGGCCAATGGAGCATCTAAGATGCGATGGAGACAATCGGCCATTGAGCGAGATACTTGATAATATGCATGCTCTTAACAGAATATTTGGTCTTGATACAGACACATCTTTATTGGAAGAAAAGGTTCGGGCCAAGCTAGAACAAAATCAGAAGCAAGCTTCTTGAAGTCGGGTATTTTGATAAAATTTACGGAGTATTCATCATTTTTTCCCCCGAAGCAAGTAGAGAATCTAACACAACAGCACATATATACAATCCTAAGCTAATTGCATTTGTTTACATGACCTTATACCCTTGATTTGGTCAGTCTCCCATTTCCTTCATTCCTTTATAGTTCTTTGCTTTCATTGGTTAGGGGAGATTTGACATTGTAGGTAATCTGTAGGAGAATAGTATGTATTATGTAAGAATATGAGAATCAAAATTCTTTTAGCAGCTGAGCATACTTATAACAGCTTTTGTTGATTCATCCAACTAATCCAAGAGTACTGCATTTTTTTTATTTTTTTATTTTTGAGTTTAAGATAAGTATTATGTGGTGGTACATACTTGAAAACACAACATGAGAAGAACCAAAATGTATTAAGAATGCTCATTCGTGACAGCAATTTTTTTTAAGATAAGAGTACTGCATTTTTTTTATTTTTTTATTTTTTTATTTTTGAGTTTAAGATAAGTATTATGTGGTGGTACATACTTGAAAACACAACATGAGAAGAACCAAAATGTATTAAGAATGCTCATTCGTGACAGCAATTCTGTATTGTCTGCAGTACAAAGCATCCGCTAGAAAACAACCTTAGCAGCCCATGTTTTTCATTGGGAAGCCCATGTTTTTCATTGGGTTGAACATCATGAGCTCCTTCCACAATCCTTTATAGTTCGATACTCGATAGTGTATTCACCAAACAGCCTATATATAGTTCATCCCTAAGAGAGAGACAATAGGCTTGAAAGACTCATCTGCCATGGCTGTAACTTCCTCTTCATCTGGTGTTACCAGTGTTTTTGGTGTTGGAAAATACACAACTCAGTTGCTCACCGTCGAACCCAACAAAGCAACTCCAAATGCTCCCCCAAAGCCACTCTTAATCGCCACCCCTACAGAAACTGGTGACTTTCCAGTGCTGATGTTTCTTCCTGGCTATATGATTCTGAATTCCTTCTACTCTCAGCTCCTTCAACACATAGCTTCTCATGGTTTCATCGCCGTTGCTCCCCAGGTATATATTTGGTTTCTCTCTCCCTCTTTCTTGTACTGTTATCTGATTTTTTTGGGTGACGAGGGAAACTCGGAGCATATACTACTCAAAATAAATCCTGACTTGGGGCCCTAGCCGATAAAAGATTACAATGCAAAGAGAAAAATCAGTTTTGTCCATAGTTCACGGCTAGCTAGCTCAAACCAATAAGGTCAATAGGCCTCCGTTGGGAGTTGAACTTATAACCTTGTGGTTACCGTGTATCTATGTTGGACGGAGGCAGGGAAGTCTAGCACCCGATGGCTGGGAATTGTTGGGAGGAGGCAGGTAAAAGGCTTAAACGTCCAAGCCCTGCACCCAGCATCTTAAAAATGTGATAACGGTTTGTAATCTCTGATCCTAGTGAGTTGGGTAGCGTTTCATCCTAAAAATGACTTTGTTTGGTAAAATAGTTAGTTTATCAATCAATTTTGGCTTATTTGACCATTATTAATTGTTTAACTTGGTTAAAAATTAATATAAGTGTTTGATTAATTAACTTTTTTGTAACTCTAAAGTGCTAAAATTCAAAAAGTTGTTCAAAACAGTTTTTTAAATTAATTTTTTCAACAAAAAAAGATAAAATTATACCAAACAATTATCAACTAACAGTTAATTTACAAACAGATTTCTACAATCAACTAATGTTATCACTTAATTATACTCTCTAATTAACACAATCAACTATCAGCTAACAGTCATTTACCAGGCAATATGTTTGTTTTCCTCGGCAAACTTTAACGTTAATTTGTTTGGTTTTATGCAGTTATATCTCATATCTTGCTGTGATGCAACTGATGAGATAAAATCCTCGGCCGAAGTCACGAACTGGCTGTCGGAAGGATTAACCAGTTTCCTTCCATCTCAAGTCCAACCAGACCTGAAAAAACTAGCGTTATCCGGACACAGCCGGGGAGGGAAAGTAGCATTCGCGCTAGCTCTGGGCAAGACGGCGACGGCTGATCTGAAATTCTCAGCCATAATCGGCGTGGACCCCGTCGGCGGAACATGCCCTGATGTCCTCAACTCCACTCCTGATTACTTCGACCTTAACATGCCAGCAATGGTGATCGGGTCGGGCTTGGGAGATGTCAAGAAGAATCTTTTGAGCTGCCCTTGCGCGCCCAAGGGGTCGAACTATGCCGCTTTCTACAGCAAGTGTCGCGCGCCGGCTTGTTGCTTGGTGGCTAAAGACTACGGACACACTGACATGCTGGACGATGATACGAGAGGGAGTTTGCGTGGGATGCTGACTTATTGTATGTGCAAGAACGGGCCGGCTAGGGCGCCGATGCGGGCGTTTGTGGGCGGCGCTGTGGTGGCGTTCTTGAGAGGGTTTTTGGAGAGTGACATGAATCCTTTGATGGGTATTATAGACCAGACTGAAACTGCACCTGTTGAGCTTCAACCAGTGGATTCCAAAGATTTGGTGAGGGCCTAAGTTGCATGTTATTGCAAATGAATGGAATTGAAGGTTGTGTGTCAACTGTCAAGAAAGTATGGTAGGTACTAGGTAGTAGTAAATGTAGTCAGTATTTGGGAGAAGGGAGTCGAAATGGGATCGTTATATCGTGTGCCCTGTCCAAAACGATGTCATTTTTAGGTTGAGTTTAGATGTATTATGTTAAGAGTTTATGTGTTTTATATTATGAGTTCATGTGTATTCTACTATACAATTCTGTACATTCGGAACATAGTTTTTTTTTTTTTTAAGTTAACGACAGAAACGGAAAATGAAATTTCTAAAAAAAAACATATACCAAACGACGTCGTTTTGATCAGGGCACACAATGCATTGTGCGCCCTGCTGCACGATATAATTTATCGTGAAACTGGTACCTACCATTTCGGTAAATTAAATAATTGTCCAATTAACTTGGTTGGAATTTGACTTTCAATATACCATTTTTTCCGAAAAATTGATTACTAAAATTATACTAAAATGACAATTTCTCTATAATTAAGGGACATTTTCGGACTTTCGGTAATGAAGTCATGTTTTTAGTTTGAACCAGTTTGTCTTTTGTTATGTGCATAAACTCACATTGAATAAATGTTCTTCTTTTGTTGGGTAAATGAACATTTAACACACATAGCAATGATAACATGTGAAGGCACAGAGTATCACTATCTTTTAGCAGTGCTTTCAATTCGACAGAGTATCATTCATGCATTCAGCTAGAAAACAACGCATGAAAAAACAATCTTTTGACAGTTCAACATTCCTACCAATGCATGTTCCATATTGGTTGGCTATCAATGTTTTACACGTTTATTGTTATTATTATTATTATTATTATTATTATTATTATTATTATTATTTTGGCTTTTAATAGGTATGACAGAAAAATTGAGGTGGTAATAATTGAAGTCATCGGTTGCCAAGCTGGTGGGGTCTAATGGTAAGTAGTTAAAACGATGACAGGAAAACTTAGGCAGTAATAATTGAACTCATCAGTTGCTAAGATGGTGCGGGCTGTTGGGCATATATATAATATATAAACATAAATGTGCAATTCAACTATCAATTTAAATTTTTAGTTGAGATAAAGTATATGCTTAAATTCGGTATCAAACATGTTGCTTGGAACCCATCAAAAGTAATCGGCATACGTGAGAGGCGTAAATGTGCAATCTAACTATCAACATAGGCTTTAGTTGAGATGGAGCACATGCTTCAATTCGACAAGTGGCAATTCCCAGCGCCAATCTAACTATCAACATAGGCTTTAGTTGAGATGAATCACATGTTTCAATTCGACAAGTGACAATTCCCAGCACCTATTAAAATTAAATGTACATTTTAGAGAATAGTTGAATAGTTAAACAAAGAAAGAAACTGAACCGCTAATTGGATTTATCCTTAGTATTGTACCAACTACAGACTGATCTAAAATTTGACATTGCAAGTAATATTCAAGGAGATGAAGATCACTCTCAAAACTCAATTCGTGATAAGTAAATTGGCATTAACCATTTAATCACATTCTTCTAGTGATATTAACCATTTAACCACATCCTTTCGGTCATAGTATCACGTATCGAATCGAGTAGGAACTGAGCTCGGTCAACCGGCAGAAGTCCAACAGCTTTTGTTGATTCATTCAAAATTGTACAATTTTGTTTTTTTTATTATTGTTCTTTTGCAAAGCTCTTTTACTATGTTTAATTGTCAATTCTTTGAGAATGATTTCTTCATTTTTTAAAATTATAACTATGGGTACACAATCCTGCAGATAAACTCATAAACCAATAAACCATGTTTGAAGAAAGCATAACAAAAAACCAACAGAGATAAGCAGGATTGACTCTGAAACCTCAATTCAGATAAGAGCAGAATTCCAGCTCCAATAAAGTGTTTGGCTTTAGAATGATTGAACATCATAATTAAAATGAAAATAAAAAAATTGAGGAAAAAACACTCAACTTTAACTGTCTTCGTACAACTATCACATAATGTAATCTTTCTGGTAAGAGAAATCTTTTTTGTTTTCCTGACAGAAAATCTATTCTTTCTCTTGTTGAGAAAACCCCATCAATTTTCTAATACTGGGGAACAATCTAGAAGGGGAACAACTATCACATAATGTAATCTTTCTGGTAAGAGAAATCTTTTTTGTTTTCCTGACAGAAAATCTATTCTTTCTCTTGTTGAGAAAACCCCATCAATTTTCTAATACTGGGGAACAATCTAGAAGGGGATGAACCAGAAGAAGGGTTCTCCACTAAATACTCATCAACCAATTGCTTAACAGACCTAGCAGATAACGGATGGAAATTGGCAGCCCAATCTGAAACAAACCCTTTGATCAACACCCCCCTTTCCTCTTCACTGCTTCTCTTCCATTTGTTCTTCGCCTCCTCCGAATTCAAGCCCATGTAATTGCAGAGCTCCGTGAACAGCATCTCTTTGCTCTTCCTTAGAGCCTCCTGTTTCTGCACCGCTTTGGATTTGATCTTCGTGACCTCCGCGGCCAAATCTAAGGCCAGCTCTGAATCGCTCATCTTGTTCTCGTTGGTGCACGAGATTCTGCGAAGATTGGGTGCATTGTTGAGATGATACGTGGAGGGGATGTGTGCGTGTTGAGATTTTGAGGGATGTTGATGGAAAAGCTTCGGCGGTAAGAGATGGATTCTCAGAGCCATTTGAATTGATGAAAATTAGGTCTGAATTTGCTGCAAAATTTTCAAGAAATTTTAGGGCTGGGAAGTTCTCTGCAGTCCTGCCACTTGAGATACATTACCATACAATTCACATGAAACCCGAATACCCGACATCCAAATTTTACAGGGCATTTGGTTGGAAGGTAAATTGATAATTTACAATAGAGTAAATACCCAAAATGGTCCCTCGACTATAGCTAAATTCCCAAATTGGTCCTCAACTTTCAATTTTAACCAATTAAGTCCTTAAGTTTCAAAATTTGACCCAATTTCGTCCTATGTTAAATTCTCCGTTTAATTCCCGTCAAGTTGAAGGTCAGAGTGGTAATTTCCCCTCCTGCGTGCGTTCTCCCTTCATCTCGTCGGTTATAAGATGTAGAATAATCCCTAATTGTCATTCATTCTCTTCATACCCTAAATTCAGTTTCTCCCTTCACCGCCTTCTTCGAGATGCATTCGAACTACAATGAAGACAGCTATGGTTCCTCAAGAAACCACTCATTGTTTCAACACGGTGAAGTAATGTCGAATATGCGTTGTCATTGTGGTGAATCGTTGAAGCTACACACCTCATGGACGAATGACAATCCTGGGAGAAGGTATTGGGACTGTGGACTGAATATGGTGAGTAATTTCTGACAATTTATATTTGTTTAGTGTTTAATTTTAGATTGTAATAGGTTTTGGGTTTTGGGTTTTGGGTATAGGGCAGGAGAGTGGATGGGTGTGGATTCGTAAGATGGTATGATCCTCCTATATGTGCAAGGTCAAGGGCAACATTCCTGGACTGTTACGACGTATAAATCGAAATGAGGAGGAAATCCAAAAGTTGAAATCAAGGTTGAGAGCTACAGCTACTGCAGAAGATCATTTGTATATATGGTAAAAATCAAAGTGTTCTTATCTCCTGGTGATGGTGATGATTTCAATTGATGCAGTAGCAGTGTTAGTGATGGTGTTGTGTAATTCCAATTCTAGAACTGTAGGTGGTGGAAAATTAGTTAAAACGCGTCCCTTGGCATTGTAGACTAGAAGTGAAATTGTATTTGTAATTGCACTAATTTATGATCAATGAAGTGTTTTGTGATTTAATGTGTGTATATAATTGGGTAATTTTCAGTTTAGTTTGGTCTCAGTAATGTCAAAGTTACTGCATAACCAAAGTCACCAGACAATTGCACTGCATAAGTAAAGTAACCAATTGGACAATTGCACTGCATAACCAAAGTAACCAAATGGACAATTGCATTGCATAACCAAAGTAATCAAATGACAATTGCACTGCATAAGCAAAGTAACCAAATGTGGACCTTTTCATTGCATAACCAAAGTAACAAAATGACAGAGCCTTTTCATTGCATAACCAAAGTAACAAAATGACAGAGCTAAATTTTACCAAAATGAGACAGTCAATGTTTACCAAAATGAGACAGCCAATTGTCTAACTAGAGACCAAAATGAGACAGCCAATTGTCTAACTAGAGTTTACATACTGCCAAATGAGAGTGCCAAAATTGTGTAACTAGAGTTTACATGGCACATATCAAACACAAAAAAAGAAAAAAAAAAACAAAAGCTCTAATAGAAATGTCTACATTGTCTCATCAGTCAAGGTTAAATGTCCAATCACTTTTTTCCTTTAGCTTTGCCAGTAGATGTAATGACTTGTTTTCCTCCCACATTGTCTATGGTCTTTATCTTTTTTTGGTGGTGGTCCTTGAGCTCTCATTTGATTTCCAACATTTAAGCTTTCACCTAAACAATTGCAAAGTAACAACCATTAGTGACTATCATTATCTAAAACCAACATATATAAGACTTACATCCCACCTGGAATTTCATTACTTGATAGATGCACTAATTCAACAGGAAGTTCAAAAACATAGGCAGGGTCATCATGCTCAATCTGGATGTCTATATCAGTACCATATTCAGGTTGTGTCTGAATTGGTATCTCTTCTTGATGAGGGATATCAGCACCTAAGTAGTTCTGCCAGGCCAACTATTAGTGGTGCACAAAATGAGACAGCTAATAACAATTAAAATATGCTTAACAGCTATTAATTATACTTGGACAGAAGTGGCAGTTGCTGGATGAGTGACCTGTGCGGTAAATGGTTCTCTAATTGGTGGATGAGTGACATGTGCAGCTGCTGGATGAGTGACTTGAGCACCTAATTGGTTCTGCCAGGAAGCAATCAAAACAACAACAATTAATTTTGCATAATAAAATATGTTGTTAGCATAATCACAAATTATACCTGGACTGTATTTGCATAAGCTGATTTATCAGGGCACCTCCTACTGTTATGGCCTTTTTGTTTACAGATTTTGCAGTGAAGGGATACATGCTTCCTAGAATATGCCTTAGTTGCTAACTGCCCCTTAGCTGCTGCCTGTCTCTTAGTTGATGATTGCCCCTTATTTGCTTCTCCAGCTGATCTTATTCTCAATTTTTTTGGTCTCCCAACTTTAGTTGTGACAAGTGGGGGTAAAGGAGGTTCTATATCAGATTGGGGCCACTCAGAAGGCCCAGCCATTGGGTGAATTGATCCTGAATAAGTTTTCACATACGTATCAACTGTGTAACATGAATCGACATACTCATATATAGGCCCATTTCCTTTTTTCAACCAAATAGCACGAATAACATGCCTACATGGTAATCCTGTGAGATCCCATTTCCTACAAGAACACGTTTTTGCTCTAAGGTCAACTTGGTGTTGATCATATGACCCTTTTATTTCAAACAAGAATTCATCAGACTGAAACCCCCAATAACCTCCAGCTTGCTCCTCAAATACTGAGATCTTCTTTACTATCCCTGGACAGATTGTCCCTGACCATTGAGCAGCCTGCTTTCTACATTCAAACAGCCTTATCATTATTTGTTTTCTCACAATCTCCAAGCAATTGATGAGTGGACTGTCCCTTGCATCTTTTATCATTGCATTGAAGGACTCACAAATGTTGTTGACAAGCATATCAGATGTGGCAGTTGTATTGAAATGAGATTTGGACCACTCACTTGGGTGTTTATCATTCAACCATTGAAATGCTGTGCTATCTAGATCCCTTAACTCTCTCATTGCATCTTTAAATGTGCTGATAGTTGTAGCCCTAGCTGCTTTCCAAAGTGCATTTTTTAGTGGTAATCCCCCAAATCCAGCTACTTGCATATTGCCATGCAAGTGTCTTACACAGTATCTATGATTCACTAGGGGTAAAACTTCTTCAAATGCTGGGATAAGGCCTTTTTGTTTGTCAGACATGAAGGTGTAATTTTGTTGCCTAAGGTTATTTAGCCCAATATCTGTTTTTAATAATTTCAAGAACCAACACCAGGAGTCTTTATTTTCCCCTTCTACTATGGCATATGCAATTGGAAATATGCTATCATTAGCATCTACACCAATGGCAGTAAGCATCATCCCTCCTGCTTTGCCTCGAAGGTGACATCCATCCACACCTACTAGTGGCCTACAATGCTTAAAACCCTCTCTACAAGCCTCCCAGCAGATATAAACTCTAAGCAATCTGTGCTTGCCACCCTCATATCTTAAATCAAATAACTTGGTAAGAAACCTTGTGTTTGGATTTGTTTTTTTTATCTCCAACTCATAATTCCAAATTTTGTTGAAGTTGTCTTCTAGTTCACCCTTGATTGCCTTCTTAGCCAAACACATTGCATTGTATGCTTGCCTAACAGTTAAGTCATGGTGATCCTCAGTGCATACTTTCTTTCTAAATTCACTAGTTTTCCATTCACTATTCCCATCAATCTGATTTCTCCATCTTTTTGCAATTAGTGAGGCAGTTACCAATCTGTTTTCATGTACCCATGCACAATCATTGTGCTCATCAACTAAAACAATAATTCTCCAACATTGTTCATCTGGATCTCTTCTACAGTTAACCCTCCAATTACAGCCCTCTTGCACACACTTGGCAATACACCTAACCTTGTCATTCTTCACAAATTTTAACTCCTTACCAAATTGTAACCCATATGTTTTCACAGCTTCTCTAAAATCTCCTTTGGTAAGAAATGTTTTCCCAAGCCACAGTGGAGATGGCAAAACTGGCCTAGGAGGTACACATTCCCTCCCATTTCCCTCACCAGATTCCCTAACATATCCCACAGACCTCACATTTCCCTCAGTTTCTTCCCCTTCACTGCCAGAGAAATGGATCTCAGCATTGATATACTTTGGATCCAATGTTTCAGTATTTTCTTCAACTCTATCACAACCACCATCCTCATCACCTCCATACTCAACATTTGGATCAATATACTTCAGAAACTCTAAGTCATCTACTCCAGTTTCCTCATTCTCATACTCACCTGCAGAATCCCCCTGCAGCCAATCAGAACCACCCTCACTCTCATCTGCACTGATTTCAGCTTCACCACCATTTGTTTCATCATTTCCAACCACCCTTAAGACAACCCATATCTCTACTACCTTTGGTCTAACAACATAGTTTGCTAATACACAAGCATCCTCATCTGTAAGCAATTCTACTAAACCATTATCACTCAAATTAAACAACCTAATGTTGTCTTCCTTCTTATATCCCACTTCATAAACCTTTTCCTTTAATGTCATCATGCCCCACTCATCTGAATCCATTTCTGCAAAGGTTTTAACTCTCCCCTCCAGATATCTAGGTGGGTTACTTTGAACAATTCTGCCCTCATATCTTAACTTCAGAAAAAACTTGTACCCATTTACTGCTAGTATAAAAATAACCAAACATGGGGTCAAACAAAGCACTTAAATAATGCACTTACAATAAACTAAAGCACTTTAATCATGCACTACAAGCCAAACACAATTGGAATTACAAGTAATACAATACACTTTAATAATCTAAGATGTTAACAAAGTAAGTGTATAGTCCCCATGCTTGTTTGAAAAGGATTACCCACTGGTCCCCACAGTTCTCAACCTCTATTCATGGTTCCATTGCTTAAAGCCAATTTTATAAACAAAAATCAACATATAAACTTTAAAACCAGACAAACATACATCAAAACCAATACCCACTACTCCCCCACTGGTCCCCAAATTCCCCAACAACTATTCACGCTCAGCATATATAAACTTTACAGACAAACATTTACACACTTCGACTAAAAATAACGAAGAAAAAACATACCTAGTCCACTGCTTCCATGGCTTGTACAACCTTGCGCTCCTAGCCACGCCATGAGCACCTCGACTTTCAATTTCAACGAAGATATAAAATTCACAGGTTAGGTTTTGTTAATTTGGAGATTTTAACGAAGAGAAAGGCAGCGATGCAGAGATTCGGAGAGGCAGAGATTCAGAGATGCAGAGATTAGATTTTATTATTTGGGGATTTTGCTTGTTTACTTGGTGGATAGGTGAAGTGCAAAGGCGGGAATATTGTGCAAAGGCGGGAATGCTGTGCAATTACCACTCTGACCTTCAACTTGACGGGAATTAAACGGAGAATTTAACATAGGACGAAATTGGGTCAAATTTTGAAACTTAAGGACTTAATTGGTTAAAATTGAAAGTTGAGGACCAATTTGGAAATTTAGCTATAGTCGAGGGACCATTTTGGGTATTTACTCTTTACAATAGAATTACAATTTCACAAAGTCTAAAATTGTAATTCTTAAGGGATCATAGGAATTGCAATTCTCGAGAATTACAATTTCATGAAATTGTAATTTCCTCTAATCAAACTATGAAATTACAATTTCATAAAATTGGTAAGAATATAATTGCAATTCCATCCTACAAAACACCTTGTTCCAAATTAATTCATGTTTTTTTAAGAAAATAAAATAAAATCTCACTTAAAATAAAAAGTAGGAAAAATTACAATTTCTTTGTTCCTAAATTATAAAATAATTGTAGAATTCGTAAGTGTTGGTTTGACTTGTTTTCACTCTTAAGCTATAATTAGCGTTGCACTTTTCGTCCATAAGTTAACTTATCGTGCTCACTTTTCGTCCCTAATTAGTAAAATGGACGAAAATTACAACACCAATGATAGCTTAGGAACGAAAAATGACCAAAATCAATACTTATGAACGAATTCAACAATTATCTTATAACTTAAAAGACGAAAAATATAATTTTTCTTAAAACGTATTTTATAACTGAGCATTAAATTTATTTTCTTTCATAATGATACATTTGATTTTTTAAAATGTACTGGGTAAACTCTACTTCTACTCCGATGTAATATCCTACAAAATATAACTCCTGCACTAAAAAAAATGAGCTCAATCGAGATGTAATTGGCAATAATCGAATTATGACTTTTTGATATGATAATTATGTTTCACATACTCAAACACCTCCAGCTTTGTCGAACTAATTTTAAGCTAAGTCAGATTAAAAAAAGAAAATGATTTCAGCTTTGTCGAACTAATTTTAAGCTAAGTCAGATTATAGTCTTCATATGTGCACAAGGGATCCAATTTAGACCTTTCATAATTCTTGAACTTGTTTTGAACCCTTATACTGTCACTTCCACTCATGACATTTTAAGTCAGAGACGAACCAACTACGTTAAACCCCGAACGCTATCTTTTTTTACTATTACAAGTAGTCATACTCATGTTGTCAACTATCTCTCTTTTTACTATTACAAGTAATCAAACTCGTGTTGTCAACTCTCTCTATATTAACTGGATGAGCCAAAGATTCTACATTTGTTGTTGTAACTATATCGCTTGTGATTAACCAATCAAATATTCATTTTTTAAAAAAACTCATTATCTTATACAATACAAGATAGTATATGTATTATACTATCTCAATCATTCTAATTCATGTCTCTCCCACTAAAGTTCAATCTTGTGTGACCATCCATTTAAAATGATAACATATGTGATATTACGCTATATAATATTTGACTTCATTCTAATTAATTGGATAGAATCGCATAAAATAATAAAATATTTTATTAAAATTTGTAATTAATGTAACCTCTTCCAATTATATAATCTTTAAGTAACCTTTTTTTTGGTAGAGATAATCTTAAGTAACCTGCAACTACTATTAAAATTGATTTTATTAAAATTCGTAATTAATGTAACATCTTCCAATTATATAATCTTAAGTAACCTGCAACTACTATTAAAATTGATTTTATGTGAAAAAAGATGTTAAAGACACCCAATTGCAGAGGCTATGCGCCCAAAACATTCTCTCCTTCTTCACCGCTCATTTCTAATCCTAGATTCCTTTCTAAAAACGCTCGCTCCGTCAACGTCAAGCACATTTCGCCGCCAGCTCCGACTCTACTCCGTCTCTCGTCGTCTCTCTCCGGTAACCTAATTCCTCGATCTGCTTTCTAGTCTGATCACATTTCATATGCAGTCGCTGGATTCTACTTTCGCTATCCATAAATTTTAGTTTTATTCTTATTGTTGTCCTGAATTCTAAAATGCTGGAGAACTGGAACGTGATTTCGTGATTGAGTTTAGTTTCGTCTAAAATTTGAATTCCGGTGCTGTTAGTCGAGTTGCTGTGCTTCCGTCGGAACTTGTAGTTTTTGATTCCTCATAGGAAATGTGTGCTTGATGATCTATCTATTGCGGTCTGATGTGATACACAAAAGGAACTCTCTCTCTCCCTAGCTCGATCGCTTACTGGCTTTAGCTATTTGTTTGTATTTGATTTCTCGGAAATTGTGGCTGCTACTAGTTTTTGCGACAATTCTGTGTCAATGATTGAAGTTGCACTACTACAATCAAAGGAGATTATTAAATAGACGCATTCATTTTGTTCAAATAACACGTTCTAGAGTGTGTTTGGTCAGGATCACAGCTGCCGTAGTGGTGTTGTAAATTAAGATTTTGTTTGATGCAGTTGCAATAATGGAGAGCTGTGAAGGTCCAAGCATATTTCCATTGCATCATTGCAAAATCATTCACCTGGTTGGTGTCATATTGTCCTTTATAAATTTATTATGTCTTTGTTCTGAAAATTTAAAGTGGCCTGACTTCAGTTTTGGAAAACACCTGAGGTTGCCTAATATTGCAGTTATCTTATCAAATAACCATATATACAGGTGAGGCATGCCCAGGGCATTCATAATGTAGAAGGAGATAAGAATTATAAAGCATACATGTCTCCCAAGTACTTTGATGCAAATGTTACTCCACTCGGTTGGCAACAGGTGGGAAAACCCAGGACTTATTTGAAAATAAAATTACTTTCCCTTCTAGTGTAGTCTTCCCATGTTTTTATGCCTTTTTATAAATCAGGTTGACAACTTACGGAGACATGTTCATTCCAGTGGGTTATTTAAGCGGATTGAGTTGGTTGTCACATCTCCTTTGCTAAGGTGTATATTCTGGCCTCAGTTACTCCCTTCAACTGCTTTTAAATAATATCCACTTATTAGTCCATGCACACGTGAAGTCATTTTAAAAGAAGTAAAAAAAAAAAAAAAGATGCAGACAAAGGATTATTGGCATTTCCTCAATATTTTTACCCACTCTTCTGCAATGAGAAAAAAAAATTAGTTGAACAAACACCTTTTTATATATGCTTTCATATATTACATTTTTTCTTTTGATGTTAAATACGGTAGGTTGTTTTCTGGCTCAGAATACTTCAAATTTGAGTTCACAGGACAATGCAAACAGCTGTTGGAGTATTTGGCGGTGGGGGATACACCGATAGGATGGATATACTACCACTAATGGTGGCAAATGCAGGAAATAGTGATCGAGCTGCTATTTCAAGTCTAAACTGTCCACCTATCGTTGCACTAGAACTTTGTAGGGAACATTTGGTAAGTCGAATATGCATATTTAATCAGTGAACAGTCGGATAATCTTTTACCATATGATACATGTGAAAATCTTCAATGTCTTTTAGCTTTTGGTTTGGAGCATCTCTTAGCATGTATTTTCCTGTGACAAAGGCAAAAGTTTCTGGCAGGTTGTGTGTGAATGGTTAAGCTTATAGTAGTATTTCTTTGCACAATAATGATGCATGTTGTACTGCAATTGAATTTTAATATTCCACATCTAGATTCTAGGCATTCATTTGATTTGAAGTTTTATCATGATCAAATATTGGTGGCAGGGTGTGCATCCTTGTGACAAGAGAAGGAGCGTCAGTGAATATCAATTCCTTTTCCCTGCTGTTGATTTTTCATTGGCAAGTTTTAAATTCTCCTATATGCTTAACATATTAAAAATTTTATTCCATAATAAATCACCATGAAAATACATTTGACCAGGTCAAACTGTATCTCTTCCTGCTCTCATTTCTTTTCAGATAGAGAGCGATGAGGATACCCTATGGAAGTCTGATGTTAGGGAGACCAAGGAAGAGGTTGCAGCTAGGGGCCTGGAATTGATGAAGTGGTAACCTTTTTCTGTCAAGAAGATAAAAATAATGCATTAAAACTTTAATTCCAGGGCCACTTTCTGAACATTTGAAACTCCTTAAGGTTTACCCCAACTATTAAATATCAAATAACTGCTCTTTGTTGATGTCTGGCTTAGATAGGAATAAGTCCAAGGATATCTATGTTTGTAAATTAATCCTTTGGGTCTTTGCTTTGCAAGTTGTTGCTCATAGTTACTTATCAAAAATAAAATAAAATAAATGTAATGAAAATTTGATCCATTTTTGGTGCTTGGCGTTAGTTATTCCTTACTCTTTTGCAGGTTGTTGACGCGGAAAGAGACGGAAATAGCTGTAATCACACATAGAGGATTCTTAAATCATGCACTGAAAGCATTTGGCAGTGATTGTCACCCTATGGTGAGAAAGGAAATCTGTAAACCGTAAGTTATGCAAAGACTTAATAATGTTTACAGATTCACTGTTGATTGTCTTGAATGACCTTTGGTACTGTATACAACATGCAGATTTGCAAATTGTGAACTCCGATCCATGATGATTGTTGACAGAAGGTAACTTTTTGCAATGAAGAGATCTTTCATTACTTGTTATTGCTTTATCTAGAGAGTTGAGGTTTACATCTTATATTTGGCAGAATGATAGGGTCAGACATCTCAACTACCAATTACCCAGGAAATATACCTATTGAACTAGATCCATCTAGTGAGGATGTGGTCGAGAGAAGCATGGAGAAAGAGAATGGCAACTCCTCTAAATGAAGGAGAATTTCAAGCCATGCAACAATGAATTCTTTCCACTAACCTTCCAGAAAGGTTGGGGGCAATTGAAATGCGTCTTTGATGACGGTGCGAAGACGAATTTGGGTTTTCTATTCCTTCGAGGCTGGTAAGTTTGTTTTCTAATTTCCATTTACCGAGTACCTTGAAAATTAATGTAAATTGTAAGTGCAATATCAACTCCATATATAATCACTACTTAAGCTTATTAGGAAACATGTAGTACTTTTAATGAATCTTTTGGTGGATATTTATGTGAAATACAATGAATTTATATAAATATAGATAATATAAACCTAATAAGAGCCCATAAAATAAGGTCGAAAATTAAAAAAATATTGGCGTAATTGTTTGTTGAAATGAATGGTTTATATTATTTTGATTTTAGTACTTTTTATTATCTTTTCTATTTTACCTTCTATTGGCTTTGTGTTACAAAAATTATGTTTGGGATACTATCCAGTGAGAATATTTTCCTCTAAAATTGTTATTACAATTAATCTAACATTTTTGCCACAGGTTATAGTCATGCATTCTTGAAATATTTAATTTTATGAAAAATTTGATAATCTTGTGTTGATATACGTCAGGATACCGAATGATACTTTGATAAATTCTGAAATACTAACTTAAAAATACACATTGAACATTAGACTATTCACGCAATATGTGTGTGGTAACTAGTATTCAAATAGTTACAAATTGGTATGAATATTCATCATAACTCAAGTTGGTATGTGGATATTTCAATCAGAACAGTCTTTTTCACCCTTAAATGGCACAATCCTCGGCAATATGAGACAATCCTTGAATGGCACAATCCTTGCACGGGTGGGATAAAAGTACAAATAAGTCACTATACTATTTGAAAAACAATAGTTAAAACAATAGTTAAGTTATTGAATTCAAATAACCTTCAAATAAGTCATTGAACTCAAAAAATTAACATTTTTAAAGGTTAAACTCTAATTTTTGCCAAATATTTATTTTATTTACGTTTCGTTTATTATAATCCACTTACATGGTAATATATTTTAAATTAATTATAATCAAAATAATTTTATCTTGTCGAAATTTGATTTATTTATTTATTATTATTTTTTCACTGGATCTTTTATTTAAAAAATAATAATAAATAAATAAATTAGATCTAGACGAGACAAAACTACTTTGATTATAATTATTTTAAAATATATAACTATAACTATGTATGTGGATTATAATAATAAAAAAAAAATAAATAAATAAACATTTGGCAATGTAGTCAGTGAATTAAAAATGTTAATTGTTCTCACCTGTTAAAAATGTTAATTGCTTTTTTTTTTTTTTATGAGTTCAATGGCTTATTTGGTGGTTATTTGAGTTCGGCGACTTAATTCTTGTTTCGGCTTATTTGTACTTTAGAAATGGAATCTTATGTTGTTGCACCTGCAAACTTACCTACTTAGTTTCCTTTCAAAATGTCATAAAAAGTGGCTGGTTTCTTCTTAGGTTCCGGGCAGATTTCCTGAAAGCAGTTACAAATATCATCTGAAATTGGTCCATTAATAACCATGATTATACTCATTCGAGTGGAATATGAGAAGCATCACCTCTACTGCAGCTGCCAACTGCAAGATTGTAGCTTCACCCCATGGACGACCTATAAGTTGTAAGCCTATGGGAAGCCCTTGCTTGTCATAGCCAACCTAAGCATACAAGCAGAATAAAAACAAAAATTTAAAAAGAAGAAATAACATAGGAATATAAATATAGCTCCGTCTCTGGTTGTCTGCAAAATGTACGGAGTAATTGTTTCGATGAGCAATTTTCACTTTTAATCATCGATTATTGTTAAACATTACATCCTTGATTTTTATTTGATAGTCACAATTAATCCTCCATTGTTTCATTTCACTATTTAATAAAATGGACTAATGTAATTTTATCATTCAAGTTTCGTGTAATTTTTCTCCATCTCTTGTAAATCCTTTTTAATTGAATGATTAAATTACATATTAGTTTATTTATTAAATGATGAAATAACAAAATTTTAAAATGATGACTAATTGTGGTTAACAAATGAATGTCAAGGATGTAATGTGACAAATTTTATTTATTTTTTTCAAATGACTAAATGTGATAATGTCACAATAGTTAAATATTAAAAGTGAAATTTGTTGAAATATAGAGGAAAAAAAATAAGTAATAAGAAAGAACAAATACTCACGGGTATAGAAATTGCAGGAAGTCCAAGAAGATTAGCTGACGTGACAAATTGCATCAGACGTCCTGAAAAGAAAAGTCCATATTTCCCGCATGTCAACAAATGGCCAAATGGGCACTCGGTTGACTGTCCTGTAGACTAGTTCCAAATTGGTTAAATAAAAATATCTACCTACCGAGAACTTGCAAATTGGTCTCCCCAACTTGTAAAGCACTTTGAGGTATTACTGGTGCTGTCATGCTAGAGAAAGTGGAAAGCATATGATAATTATTAAGTGGAAAGTTGTGTAATACGACAAGTTCACACAAAAGTATTCCGTACAACAAACATGAAACATCTTACCCAGTTGTAGGGGTTACAATGACATCCACTTTCTTGAAAATCTCCATATGGTAATACAACAATCTCCGCCTGCACTAAACCAAAAAGAGTAAAACACTGAAACTTGTCCCCCACAGTATTGCACGTTTGGGTTGAGGAATCTAGGAAAGCCATGATAATCTACAGGATCTTTAGTTAGGCATCCAAACGTACAATTTTTTTTTTTTTAATGCTACTGACTCTGTTACAATGTAGTATTTGTTCAAAGTTACTTTGTCAACCTACTGAAGCACAAAGAGTCAATACCGTCCTCACTGGAGCTCAAACCCATGACCTCTCATTTGAAAGAGCCACGTCATGTCACTAGACTACAAAGTCATTGGCAATGCTAGACGTTCAATGCTAGAAGTGCAATTTCTTAGCAATGTACAAATAATGAAATTAATAAAGTTATCTTATGTTCATACCTTATGCGCTGGGCAGCAACATATTCTGATGCTGTAAAAGACCGAAACAGTGCCAGATTTGTGCGGGTGTCATAGGTCAACCTCACCCCTTTCCTACACCCAAACCATAAGAAGATCAATCTAATCTAACCCAATGTATAAAACAGTCCTTGAGAATAATATAAAAAGACCATAAGATCTTCTAAGAAATAGCTTCTAGAGGTAAACACTATACCCATCCTCAAGATCAGGATTAAATGAGCATAGTCCTTCAGAGCCAAAAGTAACAATATGAGCAATTCGCATCTCACGAAGGTCTGGTATAACAACCTCAACCATCTTGGATTGAAGAGTGAAAAAAAGGAAGTCAAAATAATAGAATATAGTATATTTGCTTGCATGATGTCTTGGATGTACAAGCATGGATTTTAAAAGGATGTATTAAAAAGAGTGAACTTACTTTGCATCCATAAGTTTGTGACAACCTGTTCAGGACAGCATCACACTTTTCAGATATTTCAACTGAAGCTACATCATTGAACCACTGCAGAAGAAGTCACAGTCACCAAAGACTGTTCAAGAATGATTGTTCAGAACAAGATTTCAAGGAAACTGAAATGCAGACCTCTGTATACTTTCCCAGTCTTAATGATCCCAAAGCATTTGACGCCTCATTTGAAGACAAATTCGGCAAACAGGGAAGAGACTGAAAAGGAAGATGCTGTATCGTGATTCATTGATTCAAAGATAGTATATGCTTGATGCAGCAATGCGAGACAGAAGTAACTCCATTATCAAGATTGTGCTAGTCCAAAAGTAGAAATGACAAGTTTATAGGAGTAGAACCATCCACAAGACTAGATTTGAAGAATTGTAGAACTGCCAAAGTTAGTGATTACCGGTTGCAGAGGGATTCTATCCACAAGAGAAGATCCCAGGATTGCTGCATATCTGAAAAGGGCATGAAAAAAATGATATGGATAAACTAATGAAATTGCCTTGTTACAGTTGCCTCAGACCACTAATGCTAATCAAGTAAGCATAATATAGTAACTTTTCTCAACAGATAGTCTGATGAAGTATTATCTATCCTATGAAACAGGCACAACAATCATTTGTGAATCGGCCTTGAATGACTTCATTCAGAGGATGTACATGTACAGAAGGAAAGCAAAACACATGAGTCACTTACACAAGTACTGCATCTTCAACAGTTGCTGTAATAGGCCCAATAATGGTGACAGTTGATGCTTCCCACAATGACCTGAAAATATAAAGTGCAAATTACTAGAAAGTGCAAATAATGCAGTGTTGAAGGCTTCCAAAACATTTCTGATTATTTAATGATAAATCAATGTATGTTACCGAAGAGTTGCAACATCTATGTGCACATTAAACTCTGGTAAATATGAAGAAAGGATAAAAAGAAGCCCAACTGATGGAACTAATTGACCCAGGGTATGTGTGGATCAATAAGCTCGCATAAATTAAATGGATAAAATGGTAAAAGAAGAATTGTAATGGTATTAAGTGGATAAATGCAAGAGCATTACAGAGTATATTGTGTAAGAATGAGACATGATTTGTAATAATAACTAAACAAGGCCAATTTATACATGGAGATTCCAACTAATCTAGCTAGTTTCATGGTGGGCCAACAACAGGCAAAGTTATTCTCACTATTGACAGTGCAAATTTCCATGCACCATCCAGTGCATCCAAGGAAAGATAATTCTCCAATATCAAAGAGAGAGGTTTCAATATTTAACTTTCAAGTATAAGATAAAAGTCTTATGCCTACTCCCATAGTTTATGACTTTACCCTGCCAAGGAAGTGCGTCCCAGTGTTGTTTTCAAGCCGACAACTCCACAAAGGGAAGAAGGAATGCGGATTGAACCTGTTCATTCACATTAACTAAGCCTCAATAATTGCAACAATGTCATTATAAGTTGAAATTACATGAGTTTCACAGGACTATGTGTAATAGTTGCACAACCTCCACCATCTGTTCCTAGAGCAGCTGAACACAGTCCAGAAGCAACAATTGCTGCTGACCCAGAGGAAGACCCGCCTGTATACCTTTCTGGAGCATGTGGATTCCTAGTTGTACTGTAAAATAGAAATATTCATTTCTAAATATTACTGGAAAGAAGAGAAATATGATTTCAATCCAAGGAAACTCATAAGATTCATAAAGGAAAGAAGTACTATTTTCCCTATTACCATCAATAATGATATCAGAACTGGTAAGATATTATAAGAAAGAAATATAAACTAAATTAGCTCAACTAGGGGAGGGCATGGCAGGCATCATTAGCTGACTTTTCTTAGCGGCAGCAGACATAGATGATAGAACATCCATGCTGCATTTATGGTCCCATCTAACTATGAGCTAACCCATTCAAAACCGACGTTTCCTAAAGATATCCAGCTGCATGATCATTGATAAACAACTAGCTGAACTCTTATATGCTTTTTAAGACTCTTATAATAGCATGCTCAAACACTCACTTGTAACAATTTTTATGTCATCTTAAGACTACCCTATATGGTCCTCTTGACATCCCTCACAAATAGGAGACTATACAGTAACTATAGTCCACGATTTCCATAAAGCTGACATTTTATAAATTATAACTATAGCATAATAGACTCACACAAGTTTCCTTTTACCTCAATGGAAGTCCTAACACCCATGGCAACTTGAAAGCCACACAAGTCACAAACATTAACAATGCACCCAATGAAGCAACAGAAAATGTAGAGTCCTGTCCTAGCCAACCACTCATCTCAAAGAGAAAGAAACAGAGAGAAGAGTTCCATGTACTCATCAGAAACATGAAAGCCAGCATTTACAAAATAACATGAAAACTAACCCGTAATTTGGATTATTTCCGGTGGCTCCCATGCCCAATTCATGCATATTTGCTTTCCCTACTAAAATCACGCCACAGCTACGTAATCTTGACACACAAACTGCATCACTGTTTACCTGACGGACCTCATGAACCCATTTCGATGCGCCTGTTTCACACATGACACAAAATTATACATGTCGAAGAATTTGGCTAATGTGATTAAAAAACACATCCATACCTTTCGAGGGATGAGGATAGCAGTCAATGTCATCCTTAATAGCAACAAAAATCCCATCCAGAACTGACAATGGAGCTCCTGCATGCCTCATATATCTAATTAATTTATTGGTACTATGATAAGATATCAAAGACTAGAAATGAGAGTAAATATTTGACAAAGATAATAAAATTCAGAAGTTGGCATATGCATAGCAGCATATAAACCAAAATACCTTCACTAAATCTTTGTGTTGAAGCCACAGCTTGCCTTCTTACTTCATCTGGATCAAAAGAAATTAGCGTTGGTGCTGACAGATTTGCATTACTGAACTCCTCCATGGCTGAGATAAAGCGTTCTGCAACCTATAACACACTATCAATTGATTACTTCCAGGACAGAAAGGATTAAGATCCAAAGCAAGCAGCTATAAATCACTTGCCATAGAAGGAGTTGTAATCTTAGATCTATAGGCATATGCATAATCACGAATTTTCCAGTAACGGAATGATGCAGTCAAATCAGGAATCCAAGTACTATCAGGGATATAATGTGGAAAGCACTTCAAGGCCAATTCAACACGGTCTTCAGGTTTTCCGTCTTCATCTAAGCAAACGAAACCAAGTTCTGGCTCTAAAACACAATATACGAAAGCACCTTAACATATTAAGTACAGGTTCAAAGAAAAAGATTAACTTATAATTTTACTTTAACAAAGTTTATAAACTACCAACTCACCTCCCAAAGTCCTAAACAATAATAATCATCTTATTAACATTGACACCTAAGAGGTCTTCACTGAGTCCAAACAAACTACCAGCTTATCATTGGTTAAATGGAGATAAATTGGATAGAAAACAGCAAGTATTAGAGAACGAACCTTGAGGGGGAAATTCAGGTTTAAACATGGGATTCTCAGGGATCGCTGTATTAGTCAGAATCTGTTGTTTATCATAAACATTTTAGTAAACATAAAATCCACATGAAATTCAAGTCTAAAGCTCAGAAGTCAGAATCGAACCTCAGGCACTCCATTATTCTTCCTCATTTGGTTCACAATGAAACTTCCAATCATCGGTGCTTCGATCAACTTTACAAGTAGCTTCAACCAAAAACCAGTCACATGTGGAGCTGCACCGCAACTAATTAATCAGTGCAATAGTCGCATTACTGATCATAAATCCATCAATATATTAGTTACATACACATTTTGAAAAATAGAGAAATAAAATCCACAAACCTATGATATTTTCAGGCGTGTATTTCACCTCTGCCAAGTCAATTTCAGACGCCGGCAACATCGTTCGCTTCTTCCCCATTTCTCAACCAAACTTTCGACCAACTTCTGAAAGTCTTTGTGCTATATATTCAGCTCCTGAAAGCAAAAGAGAGCGATATTTCAGAGCTCTACTGGATCCGATCTTCCAACAAGTACAGTTAATTCGAGCAGAGCAGTAGGAAGGAGGAAGCAATTGGTGGGAAAACTCCTGCTCGCCAGCTCACTTGCCGTTACTATACCGTTGCCAACTTGCCATTAGAGCATCCACACTAGTGGATAATATGTGGATAATGTCATAATAACAATTATGTTGGGTGGGGTTAATAGCAAATGTGGAATGGAGTTATTTTAGGAGATAATTGTCCTGCAAAACACAAAATAATGTCAGGGAAAAAAAAAAACAACAACACATGCTGTGCGCGTTTGCGCACAGCTAAGTGCCACACGGGCGCGTGCACTACACGCGCCCGTGTGGCGCGTCAGACAGCGCTGTCAGCGCGCCTGACAAAGCTTTATTTATTTTTTTTTTTTTTTAAATCAGTTTTTTATTTTTTATTTTTTCTTTTTTTCTCTCCCCTCCCACATTCTCTTTCCTAATCACTCTTACATTATCCCCTCATTCTACCCAATTGATGTGGATGCTCTTATCAATACAGTACTTTTGGAGTTTAGGCCTTTTGAGTTTCTGACCACAAACTGTTGATTAGCATTGGATTGAGATCTAGCCCGTCCCAAATCAACGGTCCAAAAGCATTAACAGCCCAACAGATATACTTCGGCCCATTAAAATGGTGAATGGCAATTTTAAAGTATATATATATATATATTTTTTAAAGTAGTTATGATTTTTAACAATGTAATATCTGTCATATACTTTCTCAAGCGTTTTTAGCCCAAAGAATTTAAGCCCCAACCACTGGAGTTTAAATCTATGACCACTCATTTGCAATAGTAATCAAGATGTTATCACACCACATGATAGTTGGCCATCATTTTTATATTTGGTTTCATGTCATATTGCAATAATAACCAAGATGTTATCAACCACATGATAGTTGGCCATCATTTTTATATTTGGTATCATGTCATATTGCAAATTACGGAGCATTAGATATGTTCCTAGAATATGGATGATATGATGCAAGTCTCTCTCCCTTAATAAGACATATATTTTGATCCATTGACATTACAATCCTTATACAATAGATCACAGTTCACAATGCACTATGAATCCTAGTGCATGTGTATGTGTTTTATGTTGTGAGTTTTTTTTTTTTTTTTTTTTTTTTTTTTTTTTTTTTTTTTTATCGTGTGTTATGAAATTTTGTACCTTATAAGTATGAATTTTATACTTGAAACAAATTAGTAATTGTGTCTCTTATGTTATGAATTTATGTGTCTTGTGTTATGAAATTTTGTGCACAAGAACACAAAGAACTTGAGAGACCTCTCATTTGAAGGGGCCACATCTATACTGCTCGACCACAAGGCCTTTGACATGTGTATGTATATATATATATATATATATATATATATATATATATACAATTATCTTGTATTGTGATTTATTGTATCTTGTGTTATGAAATTCTATATTTAACGAATATAAATTATGTACCTCGTTGTTTTGATCCATAGTCCATAATATTTTGTGAGCCTGATTCATGATATAAATTACCTTGACATGAGAATACAATATAATTTATGGTATAACCTCACTTTTTTGTTATTGAACAAAAATTTTACCAATTTTTAGTATGGGGTGTTGTCATCAACCAATTTAAAAAGAGTTTAGTTAGTTAGTTTAGCTTTTATTTATAGAGAATTATAATGTAAAATTAAGTCAACGTGGTACAACACATATGAGTCAAGCCATCACTAAAATATAATCAATTAATTAATCTATTACTCCGTATATGTTATAATAAACTTTTTCCTCTTTTTTCGTTAATAATTTTATCTAATTTTTCAATGTAAAATTTTCTTGAAAGAATAAATAAGGCTTACATCATGCATGATGCATGGATGGTGGGTGGTGCATGTATACAAATGGGAGAACATGAGTGGTGATGATGATAAATGCATGATCATAGTGGAAGAGAAGAGGCGAACGTTGCACGTTCTACTATGCAGAGAGGCATTATCGGCGAAGAATACTCAACTCTGCACTGTTGTGCAGTTGACCCTCTGCATATTACGGACCCATTATTCATAATTATTTTAATCAAATCCTTGGATGCTTTACCTGCTTAGCTTGCTTCGTCTTCACCCTTCTTTATCGTTCGACCCCACTCCAACGCCCACATTTCTTCCTACCAACAGGAAAAAATATACATAATATAAAAATAACATCCCAAAAAGAAATGATTAAATAAGTAAAATATGATTTTTATATACGGAGATTATGAACTTTCTGATCTTTCTACTAATATATCAACTAATTTATTAAATATCTTTTTACATTTAACTAATGTTATTAACTAGTCAAACTCGTTAACTCAATTAACTAACAGCTTACAATTATTTACCAAACACATCCTAATGCAAGCTGTATAGCGGTAGGCATGTACATCAGCAAGCTAAGTAGCTAGAGCTACTAATAACTCACTCATCGTATTAATTATGCCAATTACAGTTAATCCCAACAAGTAAAAAATATGTTTTTCTCTCATAAAAGACAGAGGACAAACCTTTACGGCTGTGTACTATAATCATACTTAGTTTAACACTGCTTCACAAAGTTACTTTAATTTTGTTCTTTTAAAATAAGCAAATGCCAGTTGGGAAGTGGGTATGTATACAGTCGTTATTGGCTGATTAGGCTTTGGGAATACAGCATACTGCAACAGCCTACAGTCTAATTAGATTATTAGATTCTCGCCACGTAGTTGTGGCAGATGAGGTTTTTTTTTTTTTTTTTTTTATTTTAAAAGAACGAATGAAACTGCAATCACGTACTATTTTAAAAATTAAACTCTACTATATTTATTTTCAAATTTTACTCATTTATTTTTAGTCTATGATGTAGCAAACAATGATATGATATTTTCATCATGTGAATCTCAAAAAAAAGTGTCTACATCAATGATTTGTGAGAAGAAGTAGAAGTTGTGAGTAAAAAGTTGGAGTCCATGTAGTATTTTCTTTAAAAATTTGTTAGAGAAAATTTCAATTTTGGTCATATGACTATAGGAGCTTTGTTAATTTCAGCACCTAACTTTCAAAAGTGTCAATTTAGTACCTTGACTATACAATTTTTATCAATTTTGGTCACTCCGGTTAAATTGCCGGTCAAATTTCACCGGAAAAACTTAATTCTTCATTTAGTCTATAGTCTGAGGGGCAAAATCGTGTTTTGAAGTCTGGTAAAATTGTCTTTTTTTCGGTGAAATTTGGCCGATAAATTGGCCGGAGTGACCAAAATTGACAAAAATTACATACTCAAGGTACTAAATTGACACTTTTGAAAGTCATGTGCTAAAATTAACAAAGCCCCTATAGTCATATGACCAAATTTGAAATTTTCTCAAATTTGTTAAGTAAACTCTGCTCATGTATAAGGAGGTGTTTGGTGGATGCAAAACATTTGCCAAAGAGAATGTTTTTCTAAAAGTTAAGGAAAATATAGTTTGATGTTGTTTGGTTCATGGAATTCATTTTCTATTGGAGAATTCTTTGCAAAGGGGTGGGAGGATTTTGTTTTCAGCAAGGCTTGAAAAAAAAAAAAAATTAACATGACTGGACCATTTTACCTTTATAAAAATTTTTTAATTACATTTGTACATATTTATTCATTCATCATTTAGGAGCATATTAATCTTTATATTCATTATTTCTTACCTTTCTAAACCCAAACAAACAAGTGAAATCTATATTTCCAGTAATTTTTTTTCGCCAACTATTTTCCTTGAAATATTTTTTCAATAAAATTTTAATTGAATTTTTTTAAAAAATATTTTTCAGCAAACCAAATAGGTTGTAATATTTGCAAATGGCACGTAAGTATTTAAATTTGATTAAGATAATGTAAATAAGAATTAAACTGGTAAATATATAAAAATTGTGATCATCTCACCACATTAGAGACGTTTTTTTTTTTCGGATTAAAATATGCAAATTGAGCTGGGTTGAGTTGTCTTATATAAGAATAAAACAAAAAAGGTTTTTAAAAATCGGGCATGTTAGTGGGTCCCAGCAGGACACGCGCCTGGCCATTCACTGATTCACTCATCTTGTGCGTGGTCCGTCGGTACATTAATTAAGGATCATTTGCCTATAATTACTGTTGGCCTGTTGGGTGATTAGTTAATTACTAAGTACTGTTTGGAATTTGATTCTTTTCACACCTCATCCATTATAACATTTTTCAAATATTCACATTTAACGGGATGCGATTAATATAAGATAATACAAATGTTACAAGATGATTATGTGGATACGGTAGAACGGAATAAGTAATACTCGGCACTACATCTATTTTCACTTTTTATTCTATTTTTTTAAGTAAATAAACAATATAAATAATCTACAATATTAAATCTTAAAATTTTTCATAAAATGTATCCAATGAATTTTAAATATTTTAATTTCAATGATTTTTTTAAAATCAAATTTTAAAGTTTATGTTGAAAATTGAAATATTGGTAAACTTTGAATTATCAAACTTGACTCACTTGCCTGGCATGCCACATGACTTTTTGGACATTCACATTTCAATATTAATTTCTAAACATGACTTGTTGATTAAAAAAAGTTATGATATCTTATTTTGTCCATATATGTGTATTGTCTTAAACTAATTAATCAATGCTAATATATGATTATGACTTATATGATATTTGCGAAGCCCCTTAAAAGGAAAATAATTATATCTAAGCATAATTTTACATCCATATTAACTGAAAAATAAGAGAAAATGATAAATTAACTCAAAATAGACATTTTTTTTTTGTCAATTAACTTAGCAATTTTTTTTGGACAGTTATTTCAAGAAAAATGTGTAATAGTTTGCAAACTAAAAATGATAAATTAACTCAAACTATACATTTTTATTGGTTAACTTAGCAGGTTTGGACAATTGTCCTAAAGACTATCTGCAACGAGCTTGATTGAAATTGTGTGGATAATGATTAAACTTATGATCCTTATGTACGAGAGTTATGTTTCACCTATTTGACCACTCATTTCAAGACAGACTCATTTCATGCATTAATTTGAGATTGGCCTACCACATGATGGAAATTGGAAAAAT